ATAAAGTAAAGAGGAAAGGAAAAAAGTGCAAACTCTTCTATAAAGATTCAGTCACACCACTTGTGTTTACGTCCTCTTTTTCAAGCCAACCATTTGAAATTCCACTACTTTTTTCAGAATATTACAAACACCAGTTGTTCACGGTACCCAACTCACTACTCGCTTATGTTCTCCTAAACACTATCCGCTTGTTTATCAAGGTGTCATACTCACTTTTTACTCATGTTCCCTCAAACATTATACACATGCTTATTAAGGTGTCAAACTCAACTTTCTTTCTTATTTCCTCGAACACTATATATCTATTTGTCAATGTGTCAAGTTTACCTTCCACTCATGTTCACTCGAACATTATATACCTCAAAGGTCTCTCAAAATATTTCTCACCATGCTTCAAAGAGTATAGATAAAACATTCACTGTCTTCTCTCTATCAAAGAGCATATTTACAAATAATAAGTAAACTTATAGATCAAAGTGAATCAAGAGAATAAGACTTTTCCCTTTGTTTTCACAATCAATTTTTCTCTTAATTCCTCTCATAAAATCTGTAGAAATGAATTACTTATATGTTTGAAAGTCAAAGATAAACATAGAAACTTTTCGAAAATCAGATCTACTATTTAAAAAGACCTAAAATCATGTTATTTTAGAATTCAAGATTTTCTATATAGCGTGATCTTGCATATGACACTTATCATAAAAAGCAATTTATATTAAATTTTGCATAATTTTTTACTTAATTTACGAAAATCATTCCATTTGTCAAATCCAACTTTAATAGAAGTTTGTCTAAAATAAAATAAGTGTAAATCAAGACATGATTTTGCGAAAATTATAATTTTTGATATACTTAACATTAATAAATATAGTTTTACTTTCAGAATTGTGTGATTTTTGAAGTTGTTATAAAATAGAACACATATTCAATCACACTCAACATTAAGGTATTGTTTTTATATGTTCTGAGAAGTACTTCGCAGAATCTCCTTTTATGACAAACTACCGAGTTAACGCAATATTATGTGTTTTTAGGACAGTGATTCTTGCTGACATACTAAACAGAGTTTTCAAAGTCCCTTCGTTACATGTTTTCATTTGAAAGCATAAAAACCAAATTCTCTCTCTTAATTTTCAAGAAAAGCATATTTTCATAGGGATTTTCATGAATTAAAAAATTAAAAGGAATTCTCTTGAGCCGTTACTCATGAATTACCTAATTTACACAAAAGATGAATAGATCCTGTAAGATATTTTCACTTGATCTTCCAGTTTCTTTTCTTGTTGATGCCCTTAATCTCTCACTATATGTTCAACTTTCTTGTGTCACACCATGCTTGTTAGCTTAAAAATTCAATTGACTTTAGCATGAAAACAAGTCTATATCATTCGTCAAAATCAATAACAAAACTCATTCTATTCAACAGTTATCAATAAGCAAACTTACACAAGGTCATAATAACTGTTTTCCTCAATTTTCCTCAAACATGTGTGAATCTCAAGATTTGGTTACTACCTCTAGAACCTACTAACAACCTCATCCAAAACAATTCTAACCTCAGGTCCCCCCACCAATTCCCCCATGCCAAACACCAAAATGAATTGCCAAGATAGGTAATGGGCCGTGATAAATGATTGTAACTTATAGCCTCCACAATACCACTAAATCCTCACATTAATAACCATGAAGTTGTTTTTACCAAAGATGATGCAAAGACCAGAAATTCTATTAAAAATTAGCATACGCGTGACAGTGTTATTAACCAATTTCACACAACTTGAAAGGAAGAGAAATATCATCTAAAAATTGAAGGCAAGAAATTTCAACCTCTTCCGCTCTTTTTGCAACCTCTGTAGAGGATTCCTGCAAACCACTACTACCAATTAACATAAGCTTAGAAACTATCTTCCTGCTGGGTCCTTCTTCTTGTTCTTCTGCCATAACGTCCATCAAATCCTACCTGTTGAAATCCCATTTGTTAGCAATTACCGAGTTCTCCACAAGCAAAAGCCTCACCAACCAAATAACCAGACACAAAAATCGATTTGAGTTTAGGGGCCTTCATCGCCTCTACTTGTAAAGCCCTATGGGCCTCATTGTTATTCTTTTCTACCCACTCAAACCACTTCCCCCATCTTATCTTAGACCTCTAACTAGATTGGGACCAAAATTGAAAGCCTTTCTAACTCTCTTAGCTTTCAACCCAATCTCGACTGTGGCACTAAATCTCATAGATTTTCAGAACCAGTTTTTTTTTGTGCTTAACACAGTCTTTCAGTTGGTCATTGCAGTCTATTGGACACCACTCTCTATTTAAAATAATGTTGTGTCCCATCTCGTACTTCTGCTGCCAACTCTTCCTCCTATAATTATGATGACCAAAACTGCAATTATGTTATAATATTCATCCAATAATTGCAGTATCTACTGTTATAGCTTCTTCTTTTTTTAAATATCTACTGTTATAGCTTCTTCCAATAAAATCTTCCTTCTATTTACCCACAAATTAGATCTACACTAAGTTCCAACAGCAATATCATAACCTTTTCTTTAGGGATGGCAATAGGGTGGATTCAGTGCGGGTTTATCCAAAACCCCAATCCTACCCACCCTTATGAAGAGCAAATCCAAACCTCTGGTGGATTTGAATTTTTTTATTTTTTTGGACCATGTTGGATTTGCAGGTTAATTATATTAGTATAAATATAATTATATTTATATTAAGAAAAAATCAAAAATATATTCATTATTGTATATAATATATAAATATAACCATATTTGTTAATATAAATATAAATACAAATATATTCATAATAATAAAAGATGTATATATATAGCGGGTTTGCATAGGTTTTTAGAAAGTCAAACTCGAACTCGACCCAATCCAACCCTAATTCGCATGATAAGGAAAAAAACCGCATTGGATCAGGTTTGGGTTGGTCAGTTACAGGTTGGGCTGCAAATCTCATCCTTAGTTTTGTCTCTTGGGACTACCATGGGACCTATCCTGGAGGATTAGGTATAAAAAATGAGAACCTCTGTCAATTTTTGACATTCAAGACAAGATTAAAAAAAAAAAAAATGAAGACACAAGACACATCTTTTGGAAGAAACAGTGTTGCCTTCTGATTTTTTTTCTTTTCCAGAAAACTCATGTCTTCTGAGTTACCAAAAAACTTCTCTTTTTTCTGCTTCATTTACTTGTAGAAAGTATGCAAAATGTGAAAATGACTAATAATGTAGTGTGTTCTTCATCTCTATTTAATGGATACAAAAATGGTTCTGAAACCAAAAGTTATGTAACAAGCAAGTTGTACGAAAACCAAAACCCAAAAGTTCTAGCATTTCAGATACCATCA